AAGGCATAGTTCTTCCCCACAGGTAACACTTAGTCCATCAACTGGGACAGTATTGAGTATCATGGGATTGGCATCACACTGCTGTTATGAATAAGGCACTCTGGGAAACACAGAAGGATATGATTATTTAAAGAATAGGAAAAGAGTTTAGAGAATAGGCCCAGCTACTGTGACACAATGGTTACACTAGCACCCTGCAGTGCTAGAAGCCATATGGTGACCATAGTTTGGATCCCAGATCAGCCTCAAAATATACCGGGTATGTGCTGAGGCACTCAAGATCTTGAGGAGCTAGAAGACTGAGGAAAGAGGATCAAGGCTTGATAAGCCCCTGTCAAGGGTATTTTCTCTCTCTCGCTTTCTCTCTGTCATTCTTGCTGTCTCTCTTAAGCTTGAGCTCACACATGCTTCCTATCAAAAAAGAAAAAGAAAAGAGGAAAAAAAGCTGGTCCTAGAGCACAATAGTTAAGTGCTGTTAAAAGGAAGCTGGATCCCACATACCTGACCGTGTTTTGAATCCCAGTCCCCATGACAAAATACCCTCTTGAGAGTGCATATCCAAGATCTTGATGGGATGGAGAAATGGAGGAGGAAAGATTGTGGCATGACCATCCCCCCTTGGAGGTGCTTTCTCTCTCTCTTCTCACCCCTTTTATGTACACATGCACCATCTGACATTAAAAAAACAAAATTAAAATTTAAGAAAGAAAAAGAGTTGAGAGAACAGCTTGAGTTTTAAATGGGATATTATCAGATGAGTAGAAGTAATCCAAGAAGAGAAGTGGAGGAAAGGGGTATTCCCGACTTTAGAAAGGGACACAGCGGGTACAAAGGGTACACATTACAACCAGAAATGGTGAAGTCTTACAAGGTTGAAGCTTAATGTTTTGGGAAGTAGAGACAAAGTAGGTTGAGGTCAGACTGCAAATAATCTTGCATATTACACTAAGGGCCTTTTCCTGGGAAGCTATCAATGTTTTAAGAGAGTAGTAGCAAAATCAGGTCGATGTTTTGGAAAGAATATTCTGGTGTCAGCACAGAGGATAACTTTACAGAACAGTTCTGAAGATATTGCAATAAATACAACAAGTAGTGAAAGATACTTAACTAAGGCAGTAGTATTGAAAATTAAGAGAAAAGGACAAAAGGCTCTTATGATAAAAGGAGGTTTATGAGGCTGTTTTAAGGAAGATTATTCTGCTGCCTCTGAGGAGGAAAGATTTAGAAACAAGATGACAACTGAGGATGTTAGCGATGTTGAAGCCAGAATTAAAAGGGTAGCAGAGAAGGGCACAGGCTTAAGAAATGTCTAAAATGCCTCTGGGAAAAATAATGAACATTATTTGAGGATATGTTAGTTTAGACAAGTGATCCCCAAACTGTGATCTCTGACCAGTAACAATCAGCATTATCCAGGAGCTTGTTAAAAATGAAAATCTTGGGGTCCTACCTCAGACTAACCAAATCAGAAATTAGGGCCTGGGACCCAGTCATCTGTGTTTTAACAAGCCCTCCTGGTGATTCTTATGAGAGCTAAAATGTGAGAACTAGTAGCCTAGGGATAAACAATTTTAAAGGTGTTAAAAGCAAGTGAACTACTATAGAGGTTCAGAGGCAAAAATTTTGCAGAAAGACAAACCATCATTGAAATATGTGCTTTGTGTATTACTAGCTAAGTGACAAGTTGGGTGACAGCTTTGTGACACTCTGGCAAGTTACTTAAATCTTCAAGTTTAATTTCCTTATGTCCTAAGTGACAGTAACATATTAAGCAGCAATTCAATAAAATAATTCATTATAAAATGTTCAGCTCACTGACAGGTTTACAGCAAAAGGTAACTGCTAATTTTAATATAAGCTATAGAAAGAACAATAGCTGTGAGAAAGGAAGCTTCATATTTGACATAAAATTTTAGATAACTATAGTGAAATCCTGTGATAGGATCCAGGAGAAGGCTAAAAATATGTGCCTGAGCTTCCCAGAGAGATGAAAGCTGAAGAACTCGGTAGGAAAGTCATACAATATAAATGATAATGATTACCATGTGAGTGAGTGGGACCACCTCAGAACTCAGAGTAGAGAAAAGGACTCTAATACTGAAGAGTGAGAGGAAGTAAGTAGTCAGCAGAGCAGCTTGAGAAAGAAAACAGGAGTCAGTGAGGTCGGAGGCCAACAGGTAGGTGCAAAGAAGCATTAAGTATTACTAAGTTAAAAAAAATAGATGGACAGATAGATAAGGAATGACCATGAAACTGGGCAATTATGAGGTGATTAGAAACCCTGAGATAGTATTGTTTCTTTAATAGAAGATGACCAACCCTAGTGTGCTGAAGAGAGTAAAAATGATGAGGAGCAAAAACTGACCTTGAGAAATCCATCTGTGATGAAAAGCATAAAATAGGGTGGTGAAAAATCAATGGACATGAGAATATTAAGAATAGCTTTAAGAAAACAAGGAAGAGGGGACAGCAGGTAGCGTAATGGCTATGTTGCTGAACTCCTATGTAGTTGGCCACGGCTCGAGTCTCAGATACGGTAGCTTAAATTCACGCAGGGTACATGTGCATGCGTGCCCAAGATCACGAGAGGAGAATGGAAGAGAAGGGACTGTGGCATGGCCATCCCTCCCCCCGCCCGGCCCCCAGAGGTGATTTCTCGCTTTCTGTCTTTTTGGCGAGCACATGTGTCCTATAGCAAAAACCTCTCAAAAAAGAAAGAAAGAAAGAAAGAAAGAAAGAAAGAAAGAAAGGAAGGAAGGAAGGAAAGAAAGAAAGAAAGAAAGAAAGAAAGAAAGAAAGAAAGAAAGAAAGAAAGAAAGAAAGAAAGAAAGAAAAAGAAAAAGGAAGGAAGGAAGGAAGGAAGGAAGGAAGGAAGGAAGGAAGGAAGGAAGGAAGGAAGAAAGAAAGAGAAAGAAAGAAAGAAAGAAAGAAAGAAAGAAAGAAAGAAAGAAAGAAAGAAAGAAAGAAAGCAAACAAACAAGACAAATGGAACTGGTAGGTGGCATGGAAGTCAAGGGTGCTGGACTCCCATGTGGCAACTGTGGTTCAAGTCCCAGACCCAGCAGCTTGCTTTCTCATTTTCCCTCCCTCTCTCTCTCTCTCTCTGTGTGTGTGTGTGTGTGTGTGTGTATCTGTGTGTGTGTGTGTATGTGTTCTTCTCTGATCAAACTAAAATAAATAGATAGATAGCTAGATAAAATAAAGTTAAATAAAATAATTCTTAAGGAAAGGAAAGGAAAGGAGAGGAGAGGAGAGAAGAGAAGAGAAGATAAAAGAAAAGAAAAGAAAAGAAAAGAAAAGAAAAGAAAAGAAAAGAAAAGAAAAGAAAAGAAAAGAAAAGAAAAGAAAAGAAAAGAAAAGAAAAGAAAAGAAAAGAAAAGAAAAGAAAAGAAAAGAAAAGAAAAGAAAAGAAAAGAAAAGAAAAGAAAAGAAAAAAGGTAACAGACTTGTGTGATGAAGACAGGAGCCAGTGACAAAGGACAAACTGAAGGCACACAGCAAGAGGGGATCAAGCAAAGAGAGATAGAGAGTGAGACAAGATAACACCCTCAAAGGAACAGAGCAATACTTTTCTGATGGAGGAAAGAAAACAAGTTAAAAAAAAAAAAAAAAAAAAAAAAAAAAAAAAAAAAACCACACAGCTTAATGATAAGGAGGGAGAACTAAGAAAAGAGTAAATTAATGGTGTGCCTCCCTGAAGACTCTATGTTCTTAGATAAATAGATGAATTTAGATGTCGAGTAAGGGAGATCATAGCAGGGTTGAGCACTTGAGGAAAAGGCAAATATTAGAACATCTGCTGTGAGGGGACCAGCAGTTAGCGTAATGGCTATGTCGCTGGACTCCCACGTAGTCGACAGCGGTTTGAGCCCCGGTCCCAGTGGATTAAAACTCATACTGGGAGCGTGTGCGTGCATGCCCAAGATCCCGAGAGGAGAATGGAGGAGAAGGGATTGCGGCATGGCCATCTCCCCCGGGCAGGGGGTGATTTCTCACTTTCTATCTATCTGTCTCTGTCTGTCTGGCGAGCGTACGCACCCTATAGCAAAAATGTCTCAAAAAAAAAAAAAAAAAGAACGTCTGCTGTGAGGAATAGAAAAAGGAGCCAAATAAGAATGAGAGTGACGTTGAAGCAGCCCTGAGGGTTAGCACCAAGTTAGGAAAACATGGATTTGTTGTGATGCTAGATACGCTATTAGGTGATCATCCCCAGCAATGGAAGTAAACAAAAAAAAAAATGAATGATAATGAAGAGGCTGATAATTACATTCACAACTAGTATGTGCCAAGCAGCTCAGAAACTCATCCTGAGCCAGTTTTGTGCAGCGATGAAGTGAATAGGACCTGCAGTCAGATTTTGTGGCTTTGATTCCTAGTTATACTATGTCAAGCTATGTAAGCCTGGGCACGTTACTCAAGTTCTCTCTGTCTCCATTTCATCATCTGTAGGAATATGAATAAAAATAATAGTACCTACTTTATTAGAGTCGTGACAATTAAATCAGTTTGTTCGTGAAGAGCATTTGCAATACTGGGCACATAATAAGCACCTGTTAAATGTTAGGTATATATTAGGGACAAGCAGATTGCATAATGGCTACATCGCTGGACTTCCACGTAGTCGACAATAGTTCAAGTCCCAGGCCCAGAAACTTAAAACTCATCCTGAGTGCGTGTGCATGCATGCCCAAATCCCAAGAGGAGACTGGAGGAGAAGGGATTGCTACATAGCCAACCCCCCCAAGGGGATAATTTCTTACTTTCTGTCTCTTTTTGTCTTTCCAGTGAGCACATGCACCCTTATAGCAAAAATCTCTCTTTAAAAAATGTTAATTATAATTACTACAACATTGAGGCTAAGTTGAGGATCACAGGAATTCTTAGAGCTACAAAAACATTACAACTCTCAACAATAGCAAGAGTAAAATAATTCTCAAAAAGTATCCAAATAACCATAGTACTAGCAAAAGATCAAAAATAATTTCAATTAACAACCATACCTATGACAGACATCCTTTTTCTGATATTGTTAAAATCCAAAAAGGCAAGCAATTCATAAGTTACTAGCGTCCCCAATTCTTCTATTGTTATGGTCTCTGGGGTTCGAGACTTAAAAATGAACCCCAAATTTCTAGCAGCAGTCACTAGTGCCCCTTCATCAGGTGATTGGACTTGGTAAATCAGCTGCCCTAAAAGAAAAAGAAACAAGTACATCAATACTAAAAGTACAAACTAGCATGTAGAGAATTCCAATGCCAACTCCAACTTATTCTTTTAACACCCAACTCAACTGTCAGCCCTAGAAATCTTTCCTATTCTTAAGTCTCTTCCCACTCACCAACCAGTTGAACCAGATGTCTATCTTCCTGGATAGTACAGGACTCCATGCATATGACCACAGTCTTACAGGAAAATACCCAAGTCTGAGTCTGCCTCTCCACCCTGCTAAAAGATTTACCATATCTTTGTATTTTCAGTGCCTATACATGCACCGTGAATGTTTCTTAAACTAAACCATTTAATAGATATTTACTCAAATAATCTTTAAGACAAGCCTTTCAGGTAGAAAATATTAAAATTATTATTTCAATTAAACTGGTAGAATTGCAATTAAAGAAGTTATGTGATTTCTGCATAATCACAACAGCAAGATAAATGGAACGGATACTCTGAATTCCACTTCAGTCTACTATTTATCATCATTTAATAAGAAAGCATACAAGCAAACTCTTGAGTCAAATGTTTTCTCCCCTTGAACCTCACACCCACCCACACCACCACCCACTCTCTTCCCCTTACAGTTGCTAACATTTACATCCATCCTCTCCACCATCGTATGTTCAAGTCTCTCAATATCTACTGTAGCACTCAGTACAAATTGAGTGGGGGATATACAATGTGTATCTTTCAAATTATGACTCATTTCACTCAACATTAAGTCTTCCACGTTCATCCATGTTGAGTCAAGTGACAGGATCTTATCGTTTCTTATAGATGTGTAATATTCCATAGTACATATCTGCCATAGTTTTCAGCACAGTGATCAGTTTTTGGACACTTAGGTTGGTTCCATGTTTTAGCAATTGTAAATAATGCTACAATAGGGGTCAGCAGTTAGCATGGTGGTTAAGGCACTGAACTCTCACATGGCCAATGATGATTCAAGTCCCAGAATTGGCAGCCTGAAAAATCACACTGGACATGTGTGTATGCATGCTCAAAATCTCAGGAGGAAAATAGAGAAGTGATTGTGATGTGGCCATCCCCCCTGGGGAGTGATTTCTCACTTTCCCTCTCACTCTCTGTCTCTCTGGTGAGCACACATACCCTATGGCAAAAACCTAAAAATAAACAATAATAATAATAATAATGCAATAAACATGGATGTGCAGATATCTCTCTGAGTGTTTTCCTATCCTTTGGGTAAATACCAAGCAGTGAGATTCTGGGTCATATGGAAGTTGTATTTGTAGGTTTTTGAGAAACCTCCATATTGCTTTCCACAAAGGTTGGACTAATTTACATCCCCACCAACAGTGTGAGAGATTTCCCTTTTCACCACAGCCTTGCTGGCACTAGTCATCCAATTGTAGTTTTAATTTGCAGATGCCTTATGACAAGAGACTTTCAGCATTTTTTAATATGCCTCTTGGCCATACGTAAGTCTTCCTCAGAGAGTTGTTTATTGAATTCATTTACCCATTTTTTACGAGATATTTTTGCTATAGGGCACGTGCACTCACTAGAGAAACCTAGAGAGACAGAGAGACAGAAAGTGAAAAATCACCCTCCAGGGGGATGGCCATGCCACAATCCCTTCTCCACCATTCTCCTCTTGGGATTTTGGGCACACATACACACATGTGCCTGGCATGAGTTTTAAGCCACCGCGTCTGGGACTTGAATTATGGTCAACTACATGGGAGTCCAACAATGTAACCATTATGCCATCTGCTGGTCCCCATTTACCCATTTTTTAATTGAATTCTTTTTTTTTTTTTTTTAATGGGCAAGCTGCTTGGGTTCCTTATATAGTCTAGATATCAATCTTTTGTTTGAGGAATTATTTACAAATATTTTCTCCCATTATGAGGATAGTCTTTTCACTCTAGTTATAGTTTCCTCTGCTGTGAGGAAGCATTTTAGCTGGCTGTAATCCCGCTTGTCTATTTCAGGGTCTATTGCCTGTGTTTTAGGGGTCTTATTTAAGCAATCTTTGCCTATACTAAGGTCTTCAAAAGTTTTGTAATTAGAGGCTTTATATTTAAATCTTTGTTCCATTTTGAGTTGATTCTATTAATAGTTAATGGTGAGAGACAGAGGTCTAGTTTCATTATTCTACAGATGGATATCCAGTTCTTCCAACACCATTTGCCAAAAAGACTTCCTTTTCTCCACTGCACTGTCTCATACTCTTTGTCAAAGATCAGCTGACTGTAATGATATGGGGTTTATTTCTGGATTCTCTATTATGTTCCATTGGTCTATATATCAATTTTTGTACCAGTACCATGCTTTTTTAATTAACACTTCTTTGTAATATACTTTAAAGTCAGATAGTGAGATGCCTATTTGGCAATATGAAGTCTTTTTTTGATTCCAGACCAATTTTCTATTGTTTTTTCTATTTCTGTGAAGAAAGTCTCAGGTAAATGGGTTAGAATTGCATTGAATATGCAAATGAATTTTGATGGGACTAACATTTTGATTATATTGATATTTCCAATCCAGGAGGTTGGATTGTCTTTCCCTTTTCTATTTCAGACTCAATTTTTCTTTCATTAGTTTTTCATAGTTTTCCTTGTAGAGGTCTTTCGCCTCTTTAGTTAGATTTACTCTTACTAATCTTACTTGTTTTGTAGCCATTGTAAATGTGATTTTTTTCTTCAATTCTGTTTCAGTCTGTTCATCACTGATATATAAGACTGTTAATGATTTTTGTATATTGACTTTGTATCCTATAACTTTACAAATTCATTGATCACTTCTAAGAGTTTTTTCATAGATTCCTTTATATCGTCTGTGTAAATAATCATATTATCGGCAAATAAGGATAGTTTGACTTCTTCTTTTCCTACCTAAATGCCTTTAATTTGCTACCTTGACTAACTGCATTGGCTAGGACTTCCTGTACTGTGTAGAAAAGGAGTGGAGAGAATTAGCCTTGTCTTGTTCAGTTTTTAATGGGAAGGTTTTTTAACTTTCCTCTGTTCAGTATGTTTGCAGTAGCTCAGTCATATGTTACTTTTATTATGTTGAGGGGTGTCCTTTCTACTTCAATTTTGCTGAGAGTCTTGATCATGAAGCAATGCTGTATTTTATCAAATGCATTTTCTGTATCTATAGATATGATCATATGATTTTTTAATCTTTCTGTTAATGTAGTATATTTATTGTTTTATTTATGTTGAACCAACTTTGTATCCCTAGGATAAAGTCTACTTGGTCACAGTATATCATCTTCTTGATATTTTGTTGAATTTAGTTTGCTAGTATCTTGCTGAAAATTTTTGTATCAGTATTCATCTGTTATTAGTCTGTGGTTTTCTTTTTCTGTTATGTCCTTGTCTGGTTTTGGTATCAAGGTAATAGAGGCTTCAAAAAATCAGTTTTGGAGGATTCCTTCCTTTTAAATCTTTAGAAATAGTTTGAGAAGAATTGGAGTTTGCTCTTCTGTAGCAGTTTTGTAGAATTCAGCAGTGAAGTCATCTGAACCTGGTTTGCTTTTGTTGCTGTTGTTATTGGGAGATTATTTATCACTGTTTCAATCTCTTTACTTGTTATTTGTCTGATCAGGCTTTCTATTTAATCCAGATTCAACCTAGGTAACTTGTACTTGTCCAGAAATTTGTCCATCTCATCTAGGTTTTCTAGTTTGTTGGCATATAGTTACTTATAGCATTCTCTCATAACACTTTTTTTTTTTTGAGAGGTTTTCGCTATAGGGCGTATGCACTCGCCAGACAGACAGAGAGAGACAGAGAGACAGAAAGCAAGAAATCACCCCCTAGGGGGGACGGTCACGCCACAATCCCTTCTCCATGCTCCTCTCGGGATCTTGGGCATGCATGCACACGCACCCGGCATGAATTTTAAGCCACCGGGACCGCGAGGCAAACCGCAATAGACTACGTGGGAGTCCAGCGACATAGCCATTATGCTAACTGCTGGTCCCAAGTCTTTCTTATATATATCTTAGCGCCCAGGCACTAGGTGCATAAATATGTATGATTATTATAGCTTCTTGATAAATTAATCCTTTAGAATTATGTAATGTCCTTCTTTGTCTCTTCTTACGTTTTTTTTTATCCTAGTCTATTTTATTTGATATTAACATTGCCACTTCTGCCTTTTTTTCATTTCTGTTTGCATGAAATGACTATTTTAGCACTTCACTTTTAGTCTCTATGTATCTTTGTCAATGAGCTGTGTTTCTTTTAAGCAACAAAAAGTTCTAGTATTTTTAAACTTCTTTGTCATCCACAAAGAAAAAGAACAAACTTCTGTTTAAAGTAGTTGTACTTCTCACTTTCCTGCTTCTGAAATTTCAACATGGCAAAGAAACAGATTAGCAACTTCTCCAAAACACTTCTTCATAAAACAAACAGCATAGGGAACCAGCAGTTAGCGTAATGGCTATGTCGCTGGACTCCCATGTAGTCGACCGCGGTTTGAGTCCCGGACCCGGCGGCTTAAAACTCAGGCCGGGCGCGTGTGCGTGCGTGCCCAAGATCCCGAGAGGAGAATGGAGGAAAAGGGATTGCGGCGTGACCATCCCCCCTGGGGGGTGATTTCTCGCTTTCTGTCTCTATGTCTCTCTCTCTGTCTGTCTGGCGAGCGCACGCGCCCTACAGTGAAAATCTCTCCAAAGGAAAAAAAAAAAAAAAAAAACAGCATACACTAAAATAAAAGCATCACCCTCAGCTATAAATTATACAATCATATAGCTTTAAGTTTGTTTGATTTGGATTCTATTCTTTTCCATAACTAACACTCATGTAGGAAAGTATACTTTTTTCAATGTATTTTTACATGGATTTATTTGAGCACTCAGCCCATCTCTCCCATTATTAAAGCTTTAAAAGGAGAGCAAGTGTATTTTTCTCTTAGTGATATAATTCTTCACTTGAAATTTAATATATCAAAGCAATTATTTTAAAAAGTTAAAATAATACATATATCTAACTTTTTTACTTCAAAAATTCCTTTAAACCAAGATATATTAACCTATACCCACGATAAAGTTTACAATTTAACAGTGCTAATAGTAACTTTTGGTAAAAATGTAGTGATACTAAAACTCATACAATGATGGTAGGAATGTAAAAAGATATAGCCATTTTTGGAAAACAGGTAGTTTCTCATAAAGTTAAACAATATACCTATGCTATTATCTGGCAATTTCCATCCCTAAGTATTTACCCTGAATGAATCAAAACAATTTTTTTAAAAGACATAAAAATTGTTCATGGTAGCTTTTCTCATAATAGCACAAAGCTGAAAACAACCCAATCCCATATCAATAGAGGACTGGAAAAGCAGACTGTGGTATATTCACACTGAAATATTACTCAGCAATGAAAAAGAATGAACTATTGATTGACATAACAACATAGATAAATTATAAAAATATTACATTATATAAAATAAGGCAGACACAAAAATCAGCATACTGAATTAATTAAAGTCCCATTCAGCCCTCCTGGGCCTTTTGGAATCTCCTTCCTGCCCAGTTTACTCTGAATTACAAGTTGCAGCGACATTTGCTCTCTGGACAAAACCTTAAAGATGTTCTATAAAAGTGTACAACCTACCCAAAGAAGCCTCTAAGAGTTGAATGCTGGGGCTGGAGACAAAAGTTAGGAGCCTGAATGAAGTAGTTTCATAAACCCATAAGGATAAGCTAAAAAGAAATTTAAAAATTCACTAACTGATCGTTTTCTTCCAGTACAACTCTCTCTCAGATGAGAGTTCTGGCACAGATTGCTGGCACTAAATCTGGAAAAGCAAGACAGTAATCCTAGGTATCATATGAACTCTAGGAGAGAAGAACCCCACATCCAGAAGACACATGTTCTGCCTTTCCCATCACTTTTAGGAGACAGGTAACTGTATTCATTAGACAGAGATTTTCAAACACTAACAGGACATAGGGGATTTCCAAATACAAGTAAGAACTGGTATTCACAAATCAGTAGGCATTTGAAAACAATATGAAAGTTAGACACAAAACTAAAAAAAAGAAAAAAAAGAATGCTTGATAAAATGACACTTAATGGAAGAAACAAGAGAAAATTTCAAATGAAATATAATTAATATCCTCTAAGAGAATATGAAATTAAAATAAAAACAGATTGATATTAAAACAAAATAGAATTTTGGAAATGAAGTGAACTTAAAGGCACAGGTAAAAAAAGTTAATCAAAGAAATTTCAGAATATCCCCAGATAAAAAGCATAATAAGTTATTATTGGCATTAGTATTATAAACATCAATTAAAGTTAAAAATATAATTACATGAATTCTCATAGTGTTAAAAATCTGAGAACTGGGATAATCTCGTATCACTGAGGACAAAACTATGGCTTGAATATAGTTCCAACAGAGAAAGAAAAAAAAAAATACAAGTGCAAAAATCACTCTAAGCATATGCCAAATGGTCATCTACATCGACTAGTTGTGCATACTAATAGTGAGAGTTACGTAAGTCAACTATATTTTCTATTTGTACTGGTTACTAGGAAACTCACAGTCAAATGTGGTGCATAACAAATATTCCGTTCCCTGCCATTAGTATATTTTGATCCTTACCTTTCCATTGCCCCTATTTATTTTCATTTTCTTTTCAATCTTTCCACATTAAAAGAAAGGATATAAGCAAATACAAAGAAAAAGTAGTGATAGGTAAACCTCTTATTCAATGTACTACTTTTAATTTAAAATAGTTTTAAATTTATTATCAGATTTGACTTAAAAAAAAAAAAAAAAAAAAAGACTCACCACTCAGACACTCTTTTTACTTACCTGCACTGTCCTCCTCTGACATCACAGTGTGGCAGAGGGCAAGTAACCTGAGGAATTCATGCACTTTGGGATCACCCAGTTTAATAGACTCCATCAGAGTGTGATCAGGGAACTGAACTGTTCTATCTTCTTGGGATGTAACTGAGAAATCCACAGGCTCTTTTTTCTGTAGGAGAACAACAACAACAAAAAGAACTATAGACCTTGTTCCAACAATAATCTTTTAAAATTCAAAAATATTTCCTCTAAGTATTTTTAGTCCTTGTATGACTTTGCAGCCTCAAATGTCTGGCATTAAAATGGCTGTTTAATCATTACTGTTAAATATAATCCTTCATTTCCAAAGCATGCACCAAAGCAGTGAACTTTCTAAAAGTATATGGGGAAGAAAAATTTACAATGGCTGTATAAATCCTCAAATGCTGATTGCAATTCCAAATACAAAAATGCCTAAAAAGCAGAGCATTTTTTTCAGAACCTACTTAATGGCCAACCTGGCCTGACAAAATCATTCTGGCAACAATATATGACTTAGAATGGAATTTGTATAATTGTAGAATTTGGGAGTGGGCGGCATTTAATGCTTGTGGATTAATTCATGAATAATAAACACTCTCTAATGGGTAAGATAAAGTTATTACCCATCCCTACTTGACTTCTCCCTTGTTTCTTTCTCTGACATGTAATTCATATTTTTTCTATTTTACTGCAGAGGTTTAAAATATTTGCATTGTGTGCTATAACCAAACTTAATCCTTTTCACTGGCCTAAGGATTCATTCAGAAAGCTGAAAATCAATAAATGGTATGTACTTAAGTCTGTCTTTGAAATATCATTCAGAGTAGAGGCAAGAAGTACTCTATTATATGTGTCTTCGTAGTTTAGCCCATTCAAGGCTGTTTGTCAGGTCTGTTATTCCGCTGGGATCCTGGGATTTCGTTTAATTACTCTCTTGGACTAGAGTACGACTTCCTCACCCGTGCCAGTCACTTTCTTACTTGATTCCCTTGTTTTGCTAGAGCTTATGTACAACTTACTATATAAGACAAAGATCATGGGAGGTAAATGCTATGAGCCTTTATCCCTGAAAATGTCTCTATTCTGCTCTCACGTTTATCTTACAGTTTGACACAATATAGAATTTTAGGTAGAAAGCCATTTGAATAGATCACTCCACTGTCCTCTAGCATCTTGTGTTGCTAACCATAACTCCAGTGTCAACCTTGACACTC